CTCAGTTTCCTCATCTATAAAATGAGAAGGTTGGCTCTGATGGATTCTAAGGTCCTTTTCAGCTTTATAGTTATAATCCTATGCCAATTATAATAATCAAACAGCCCAGGAGAAGAGTCAAGACAATGAACCTTTCTCCTTTCTTTGTGGAGGTGGAGGGACTACAGGTGGGGAAATGTTGCATATACAGTCAGAATAGTTATGTTTGGTAGCTTTTCCTTAACTGCTTTTTCCCTCTCTTTCTATATTGCCATTTGGAAATGAAGGTTGTTTAAAAATTAAAACAAATTTAAAGGTATTGTTGATACACAAGTGAATTAGTTCAACCATTCTAAAAAACAATTTGGGATCATGCAAGAAAAATTCCTAAATGGTTCCTCCTCCTGGAACAATATCCCAAGAAGGTTACTGACAGCAAGAAAAGACTCATATGTATAGAAATACTTATAACATCATTAGTTGTGCTAACAAAAACTAGAAACCAAATGTTGTTGAGTTGTTTCAGAGTGACCCCATTTGGGGTTTTCTTGAATATTCCAGTGCTTTGCCATTTCCTTCTCCAGTTCATTTTACAGATGAGGAAACTGAGGTAAACAGGGTTAAGTGACTTGCCCAGGGCCACACAGCTAATAAGGGTCAGAGGCCAGATTTGAACTCAGGAAGATGTTTTCCTAATCCAGGCCCAACACTCTATCCATTGTGAAATGGATAAACTAAATACATGCCCAATAATTGGGAAATAGCTGAATAAATTACAGTATATGGATGTAATGAAATATTACTATACCATAGGGAATTATGAATATGAAAATGTAAAGAAACATTGCAAAGATATATGAAATGATGCAGACTGAGGAAAGCACGGCCAAAAAAATAGTACACACACAATGACTCCAGCAATGAATATAGAACTTGAACTCTGTTATTATGTTTCCTCATTGTATAAAGTAATACTTTGCAACTTTTGGACTCATCCTACCCATTAGCAATTAATACTTCTCCATTTATTTATGCCTGTCTTTATTTCTGTAAACAGTGGCTTGTAGTTGTATTTATATGCCTCTTGTATATATCTTGGCAGGTAGACTCCTAAGGGTTTTATACAACCTGTAGTTTTTTTCAGTTACATTTATCTATCTCTTCCTGCTGCGTTTTATTGATATTGTATGGAAATTTTGATGATTTGTGTGGATTTATTTTATATCCTGCAACTTTGCTGAAGTTTAATTGTCTCAATTAGTTTTCAGTGGACCCTTTAGGGTTCATTAAATACAACTTGGAGAAAAGTCTTAGATCTGAGTTCAAAATGTTTCTGTTGCCTGACACAGTAGAATGTCTTCACAGTTGGTTTTCTGACATTAGCTTTATTGAAGAATACATGGAGATGGGAGAAGTTAGCAGCAACCAAATGGCCTTAAGTAGTCAGAGCTACTTTCATTTATTCATTCCTGTACGGGTCTTGAAATCGGTCCAGTTTCAGTCTTGGAATTGTGTGATGCAGAGCTGAGTCACACACCTGTTGGTAGGAAGAATGGTGGACTTACGGTTTAAATACAATCCAACAGGATTCCTCAGTAGTCAAAGTTCCCTGTCTGTATAATACCCAGTGCCAGCCATTACTTCTCTAGGTTTCAGAATTGACCAGCACACAATAGCCAAAAGGATGTGGTTTAAATAGGTCCCTTGTTGCTAAAAGAATCCCCTGTCTGTGTAGTGTATACTCCCTCTCTTGGGGTGTTTAGGAAAGACTAGCATCTCTGCTATGTGGGCTACTGAGCTCTTTTCAGGGCTGCTTATCCACCTTTGGTGTCCACTTGATTCACCCAACTGTCACCTGTGGCTCCAGGAAGCTGTAGCATGTTCAGCAGCCACAACGTGGTTGTTTAGGCAGATGGACTAAACAAGATTGAGGGTAACTGAGGGGTTTCAAATCCATCAGTGAGTTGGGAGGGGTGTCTACTCCAAGCAAGTGAAGGTTTCCCCCTTGGTGGAATGGGTAAATAAGAACAATTTGTTCCAATGGCCGTAAAGGCAGCTGAAGCAGGTGCTATGGAGAGCTTAGAGCTTGGTCAGACATCGAAGATGCCAAGGTCACCTAATGCATCCTGGGCCATCACCAGTAGTCTTGACTTCTGTCCTGTCACTGGACTTTGATGACTCTGAAAGACGGAGTGAAGCCAATGACTATGCAACTCTGTCCCCCTTAAATCCAATTTATCCATTAGTCAAAAGACATCGTCTAGTGATGTCATTTTGGTCCTCTTTGCTACTGAAGGACAACCAATTCCCTCTCTAATAACCGTGTATTTATTCTGTATAGCATTATGGTCTCTCAGCATTGCAGACAGAGCTAGGCTCTGGGTCAGCAATTCTAATAGAAGTCAAGCCCCTCAAGCCAGAAAAACAGAAGCATTATCTTGGGTGGGACTTCCTATCTATAGAGTGGTCAGGGTCCCTGCCAAGATTTACATCCACACATTCTCTTTTTCCTCTGAAATACATTCACACTGCATATCCCCTCTTTCTTTGTTTATGTGTGTCTCAGTCTCTCTCTGGGTCTCTCTCACTCTGTTTCTATCTTTATCTCTTTCTTACTGTCTCCGTCTCTATCTCTCCTCAATTCTGTTGTCCATTAGCTACCCTTACCCTGCTAGACAAAGAATTGTGTCTGTGAGGTTCTGGAACCCAGAGACTATTAGAGTGACAAAGCTCAGAAGCTCCCTGTACATAATGATGGTTATACTTTTGTTTTCTCATCCCATTTCCTGATATGAACTGCTCCCCCCTCACTACAGGATACACATACTTTCCCACATTCACTCAATTACTCCTCCAAAGACACTGCTCCCTTACAACAGCTCCCGTTTCCCTTCTAGGGTCAGGAAGGTTTTATTGGAATGGAGGGAGAGCCTTGTCTCTTGGCTCATGTTCGTGGACTGGCCTGAGAGGCTGCCTCTTTTCTTATGTTTCAAAGGGGCTGATCCAGCCAAGTTTTGAGTTCCCCGGAGTACAGGAATGAATGAATATTTATTAAGCACTTATTATGTGCCAAGTACTAGAGGTAGAACTAGAACTCAAGATAGCCCCTGTTCTTAAGAAACTCATTTTACTATGGGGAGACAACACATGGAGGAGATTTCAGTTACAAGTCAGGTGGAAAGGTCCCATGGTCCATAGGGTATAGTAGCAAAACAGATGGTAATAATGCCTTTTCTTTAATATCATTTAACTGAAAAAATCACATCTATTTCTGACGTTAGACCATTTAAGAGTGCCAAGGACTCTGGTGGTGAGAATTTGTATGCATGGGGAAGACCTGAGATGGAAGGGGTCTTGGGAAGGGGTTACTTGCTGTCTCATCAGAAAGAGGAAAGTGGGCTACTATGGTTCTGAGATGGAAAAGTAGACCTTTTAATCTATCAGCAAGAAGACCTGAGTTCAAATCTGGCCTCACTTACTAGCTGGGCAAGTCACTTAACCTCAGTTTATCTCAGTTTCTTCAACTATAAAACGGGGATAATAACAACCCCTATTTCCCAGAGTTGTTGTAAGGATCAAATGGGATATTTGTAAAGGCTTAGTACAGTGCCTGGAGTGTATTAGGTACTGTATAAATGCTATTCTCCTCCTTCCCCCTTCGTGGGATAGAAATTGTTTTCTGTCCTCCTACCTGACAGGAATGACCACTTGTGAAGGCATGTCTGGGAGCCGGAACTGGCCACTCTAAGCCCTGACTTTGTCCAGGTGGGAGAGGCAACATGGAATCTTGGCTTTGGTCCTATTATTTGGAATAAGGAGTTCTGAAGAGGAGTGAGGCTAAGCTTTGGAATGAAAAGAACATGAGAATGTAGCACTAATTTGTTCATTTGAGATTCCAGTTCTGCAATAACTGAAAGAGAATGTCAGATTACAAAATAGAATCACTTTCCCATCTTCTCCCACATATACTCCTTTCCTTGGAGGATTAATATTACCCAAGGGATCATTGAGTGGTGATCTGGACCCTCTAAATCAAGGGTTCTTAACTCAGACTTGATATTCTTTAAAACTATTTCAATATAATAGGTTTCCTTTATAAATCCATGTATTTTTAACTTATGCATTTAAAAACATGATTCTTACAAGGGGTCCTTAGGCTTCAGCAAATTGCCAAAGGAATCCAAGGCACAAAAAGGGTTAATGACTCTTGCTGTGGAGCTTAGTATGTGATGGGCGGGGAATAGTACTGCCACTAACACAAATGGAGCTGGGAGAATCATTTTGGGGATCTGAGATTGCCAGGAGAATTAAACGTGGTGCTTTAGCCTTAGATTCCAGAGGTTATCTCATCTCTAGCCTAATTACTCACCTAACCTGTTGGAACCTTGTTAGGTGTTTATTCTAGTCTAAAAATGTAGCCAGAGATCCAAGAAAGGCACAGACAAAATGAAGTATTATTGTTATTCTTTTACTAAGGCACACATATTTTAAACCTTTTATCAAAATATAAATAGGCACTTAGAGTTTGATGTATTTTGTTATTTTCAATTTAATTTTTTGTTGAGATTCGTTGTATGTTATTTTGAAAAAAAAGGTTTGTTTTTTAAATAAAAATAATAACTGAATATCTACTGTCTTCTTACAGAACTTCAACTCTGCTGGCTTTTCTTTGTGAGTTGGTGGTGATTTTAGTTTCTCTTCTCTGTGTCTATCCAAGACCAGACCCAGAATACTTGGGCAAAGGCCCTTTTGCTGACCTTTGGAATGGGACAGTAGATATCATAGAATGTGAGATCTTGAAGGGACTTGAGAGGTCCCTCAGACGAGCCCCACCCTTTACAGGTGAGGAAGATCCAACCCAGAAGGGTTAAATACCCACCGTCACTCAGAGAGTTATTGGTGGAGCCTGGAGCAGGCCTCTCAGGGCAGGTCTCTGTCCATGGTGGGTGAGGAAGCCCAGAGCCAAGGGAGGCTGGGGATGGAAGTGACTGACTGGCTGCTGTGCATTTTGTCTCTGACAGGTGTTTGTGCTTTGTCATGGGCTCTTACAATTGTGTCAGCTCCTCTACAGTGCCTACTTCAAGAGCAGCCTCACCACCATTGAGAAGCGCTTTGGCCTCTCCAGCTCTTCCTCTGGCTTTATCTCCAGTTTAAATGAGGTAAGTGCTCACTTGTCCTGGACCTAGGGTCAAGGAGCTGAGCAGGAGGCAAGGGGAGGGACTTGGGTATGGGGATTCAAATTGTGACTCTGTTTTACTGCCTGATGAATGGAAATTTCCCTGCTTTTGTCCCAAGTTTTTTTTCCCCCAAGAAATGGCTGAAACACCAAGTACCTTTGAAAAGTGAAGAGAAATGTGGGCAGGCTGGGTTCTGGAGTTCCGGGTCAAGGGTTATTATGTTTTTGCTATTTTCTTTTTAGATGTCTTATTGGTGTCACTTTCTTTTTTCACATCATTATCACTTCCAGTGATTCCCTGCTCCCTTGTTGTTGCTCAGTCTTTTCAGTCATGTCTAACTCTTCATGATTCCATTTAAGGATTTTCTTGGCAAGGATACTGGAGTGGTTTTCCATTTCTTTCTCCAGCTTATTTCACAGATGAGGAAACTGAAGTAAACAGGGTTAAGTGACTTGCCCAGAGTCACATAGCTGGGAAGTGTCTGAAGTCAGATTTGGACTCAGGAAGATGAGTCTTTTAGACCCAGCACTTTATCCATTGAGCCACCTAGCTGGCCAAGCACTATGTAAATGTTAGCTAGTATTATGTATCTATTTCTAGGAATGTTGTGTCCCCTGTTAAAAAGTAAGCTACTTGAAATCAGGAATTGTTTTTGCATTTCTTCGTATCCCCACAGTGCTTACCACATACTAAGTATCAATAGATACTTGTAGACGTATGTATTGATTCACCTCAGAAGTAAGACCTTCTTTGGGTACACATAAGGAGATCTTTGCTTTTGGACCATGTAAGCCTGGATGGGTTCTATCTCACATGATGCTCTCTGCTTTCATCCACAGATCAGCAATGCTATCCTTATCATCTTCGTCAGTTACTTTGGCAGCCGTGTCCACCGGCCCCGGATCATTGGCATTGGGGGCCTCCTGTTGGCCACAGGCGCTTTCCTGCTCACCCTCCCACACTTCCTCTCAGAGCCATACCAGTATTCCTCCATCATTGGGGGTAAGTAACTTTGCCCTTTAAACTCCCAAATCTATTCCAAAAGATGTGCAATGCCCATCTCCTGCAGAGGCAAGCTGTAGTCCCACCAGAGCAGGGAGAATCCTCTTCCTTTCTTAAAAAGAAACAGATTTTTTAAAAGATTTATGTCAGATACAGAAAATGCATAGGCAAGCCAATCAACAGAAGACTGGATACCAACTCTAGCTTCTTCATAAGCTGATTTTTTTATTCTTCCCCCCCACTTAATAGTATTTTATTTTTTCTAATTATATATATATAGTTTTCAATATTCACTTTTATAAGATTTTGAGTTACAAATCCTTCCCCCTAAGATGACAAGTAATCTGATATGTCATACATTGTACAATCACATTAAACATATTTCCACATTAGTCATGTTGTGAAAGAAGAATCAGAACAAAAGGGAAAACCCATGAGAAAGAAAAAAGAGCAAGTTATATGCTTTGATCTACATTCAGACTCCATAGTTCTTTCTCTGGATATGGTTAGCATTTTCCATCGTGAGTCTTTTGGAATTGTCTTAGATCATTGTATTGCTGAGAAGAGTTATGACTTTTTTATTCTTTTAGGCTCTAGATTTATCTTCTATAGTGAAAAATGTAAAAGGCAGTATAGTGTAGAGAAAGTGTTCTGAACCTTGTTTTAAAAAATATTTTGATCTAATGGTAGTCATCTCTAAGGCAGGGTGGGGAGGGAGGGAAAAAATGTAAAAATTACACAATAGAGAATAAAAGAAAATTTAGAAGGAAGTATAGAAAGCAGAGTGACTTTGGAAACAATGTGCAAGTTTCTCAAAAAAAAAAGTAAATAGTATGAAATGTAAATTCATGGTTTTATAGTGAATAATCTTTTTATGTTGTGCTATATGAATGGAAATGTTCTGGTTTTTTTGTCTTTATGTATTTAAGTTCCAAATGAATAAAAAAAAAAGAAAAATTGATAACCATATTATAATTGGTTTCTTTTATAATCCTATGTGTTTTGTTTTGCGCATTTCAAATCATTATTCTGTGAAGGAGTCCATAGACTTTACTAAACTTCCAAAGCAGCCTGTTATACAAAAAAAGGTCAAGAACTTCTAGTGTAGAGGATATTGGTCTCCATGTCAGGAAGAACTGGCTGTATGACCCTTGAGCAATTGGCATAAACTCTCTATGCTCTAAGCAGCTCTTTATGGCTGTAAGTTGCTGAAAAGATGCATTAGTAGGAGTTTTTTTTCACTAGGGAGTCCTCTATACTACTGAAATCACAGATCTGGTCATTATTCCTGTTCCCTAGTACAAAAAAAAAAAAAAAGCTGACTTTGGGGATCTATTAGTTAGCCAGGCCATCCTTTCTGAGATTCAGTTTCCTCATCTATAAAGTGAGAATAATAATGCTTCTGCTGTCTACAATTGAGGCAGTGCAGTATGGTGAAGAGAGTCCTTGCCTGTAATCGGAAAAAACTGAGTTTAAATCCTGCTTCTGACATTTGCTAGTTCTAGTCCTGAGCAAGACACTTTAACCTCTCTGCCTCAATTTATTGATCTGTAAGAGGAGGGTTGGATTTGATGATCTCTATGGTCCTTTCCAGCTCCCAAGTTCCCATCTTGTAACTGAGTATATGACCTGCATTCTATCTACCTGCAAAGGCTGTTGTGTAACAAGGGTGTAGGATTATAGATTTGGAGCTGGAAGGGACCTCAGATGTCAATTTAGTCCAACATCCTAATTTTATAAATGAGGAAAATGAGACCTGGAGATGTGTAGAGATAGGTATTTAAAGAAGCAACATTCCATCCCTGGTTCTCAGTCAGTCAATAAGCGTTGATTATCTACTGTGTGCCAGGCACTGTGCTAAACTCTTGGGATACAAAAAAAGCAAAAGACAGCACCTGCTCTCAAGGAACCCATAGTCTAATGGGGGAGACAACATGCAGATAACTGTATATAAAATTGGGGATAATCACAAAGAGAGAGCATTACAATTGAGAGGGATTGGGAAAGACTTCATGCAAAAGTTGGGATTTGAGTTGGGACTTGAAGGAAGCCGGGAGGTAGAGATGAGGAGAAAGAGCATTCCAGGTGAGTGACAATGGTCAGAAAATGGGAGATGGAATGTCTTGTCCAAGAAACAGCAAGAAGGCCAGCGCTACCAGACTGAGTATGTGGAGTGGGTGGAAGATGTAAGAGGACTGGAAAAGTCAGGAGCAAGGCAGGTTATGAAAGGCTTTGAATGCCAAACAGAGGATCATATATTTGATCCTGAAGGTGACAGGGAGCCACTGGAGTTTACTGAGTAAGGGAGTGATGTGATCAGACTTGTGCTTTAGGAAGATCACTTTGGTAGCTGAGTGGAGGATGGACTGGAATAGGGAGTTCTCACTGTTATCCTTAGGCTTGTGTACCTTCAGGAAAGGGCCAATGAGAATGCTTCCCCAAAGTGTACTAGCATACTTGGCCCATGCTCTAGGCATTACTGTGGTATAGTTCTGTGCATCGAAGGATCAGTAATTCCACTGGTGTGTGAGTCTGGGGGGAGGCCCTAATGCAGACCATAGTCCTAATTTAGTAGGCAGGCTTCAGGATTTGCTGTGCTCTCAAGAATTCATCATCTGATGCTCACCTTTCTGTTTATCATCCTTTCAGAAGCAGGCTAGGCTGGTCCTCAGGTATTAGCCCTTTACCTGTCTGGCCCATGTTTGAAGCCTTTTCAGCTTGATTAGACATGCCTAAGACATGCCTTAATTAGACATGTACTTTGTTGGCATAGCCTTTAAGACCCCAGGGTCAGAGCTGGGCTCTAGAAGGGAGAGGAAAAAATATAGATCTCATTCCCTTCTTTGCAGGAGTGCAGGACTACAGGTGTGGAATGCTATATATGGTGTGCAACACAGAATATATGGGTTGGTTGGCTTTGGTGAATCACTTTTCCCCCTTTCTTTTTAATTTATTACAAGGGATATTGAACTAGGTCCTTAGAGTCACTAGTGGCTCTGGGGATCAGAAATTTATCACTCATTAATATCACTCACAAGGGTATCTTCAGTAACTTGAACAAAGTCACACAGGTGGTGGGAGTGGGAATTAGAACCCAGAACCTCTGACTCTAATTCCCGTGTTCTTTCTGCTGCACCAAAGAAAGCTTTGAATAAGGATCTAGAGGAAGCCTTCAAAATGCAAAGGGATAGGGTGTTCAAGGAAGGTGATGCCTTGGAATTCTGGCCTGCCTAACAGCCCATAACAACTAAATATACACTGGAGAATGAAGGTGGATAAAACCTTCTTTTTCTCTGAATTGCTATGTCTGACCTTCCTCCTTTTCCCTTTTCTCCTCCTCCTCTTCTCTTCCTCCTCCTTTTCTTCTCTCTCCTAACTCTTCTTCTCGGCATCATCATTATTATTTCTATTAAATTAAATTATTTAATAAATAGTTAATGACATTAATCAATCATAATAATAGCTAGCATTTATACAATGTTTTAAGGTTTGCACAGCACTTTACATATATTATCTCATTTAGTCTTCATAACAATCCTGTGAAGTAGATGCTATTATTATCCCCATCTTACAGATGAGAAAACTGAGACTAAGAGATGTTAAATGACTTGCTCCAATCATGCAGCTTATAAGTGCCTAAGGCAGAATTGGAACTCAGGACTGACTCCTAATTCTATCCACTAAAGAACATGCTAATGTTCTTCAAGGTAATTAGAAGCCTGAAGTAAGGCCAGTGAGGACCCATTCTGCCAGGTGGCTGAATGGGTCAGTTTCAGCCACACACCACCGCACCTCCCTGCGCTGCCAATTCCATTTTAATTTGATCTGGGTTTCTGGATTATAACGGGCCCACATCATTTTTCTCATTTTCATTCCAACGCACAGTTTCTGCAGGGAAGGGCGTCTGAAAACAATTACTTGGCTTCTCATCTAGAAATGGTATATTTACAAGGTCTTCAGACCCACCCAGGAGGGAAATTCTCTGCATTTTATGTCTTAGATCTCTTCTTGCTCTGAACTAAGCTCCCCAACTCTACAGGAAGGTTTTGGGATGTGGTAAAATCAGGCATGGCCTTCTCCTTCAGGTTTCACTGAGGAACCACAAGTTAAAATAGCTGGGCCTAGGTTGGTTTGTATCAAATGTTATGTAATTCTAACAATAGGGTAGGTTAGTCTTCCTCAGTTGAAAAAGAGTGACTCCCAAGAACCAAAGTTCTGGGTAGCAGCTGGACCACTCCAAGAGGGTATGCAGGTATCAGTCTATCAATCTAGAATTAGGGGTTCTTTTTTCAAAATTTAACATTTTGGGTTTTTTTCCGATTACATGTAAAAACAATTTAAATATTATTTTTTCAAATTTTGAGTTCCAAATTCTCTTCCTCTGTCCTCTCCCTTTCATTGAGAAGGTGAGAAATTTGACATAGATTATACATTGTAGTCATGCAAACACATTTCCATGCAAGTCATGCTGTGAAAGAAAACACAGACAAGAAAAATAAAGTAAAGAAAAAGTATATTCAATCTGCATTCAGGCTCCACCAGTTATTTTTCTGGAGATGAACAACAAATTCATCATTAGTCCTTTGGAACTGTCTTGGATCATTGTATTGCTGAGAAGAGCTTAGTCATTTACAACTGATTATCACATAAGATTGCTATTCTCATGGTTCTGCTCATTTCACCTTGCATCAGTTCATGTAAGTCTTTCCAGGTTTTTCTGAGAGCATCCTTAGAGCAGAGATTAACTTTTTGTATGTGTTCTAGACCCCTTTGGTAGTCTGGTGAAACCAATGGCCCCTTATCAGAATAATATTTCTAAGTGTATAAAATAAAATACACAGAATTACAAAGGAAATTAATTATATTGAAATATAGTTATCCTTTAAAAAACAAACAAACAAAAAACCAAGCAAACAAACAAAAAACAAGGTCATGGATCCTACATTAAGATTTCCTGATGCAAAGGGTTCTCTGATTTCTTGAAATTTGAGAGAGGAGAA